TATTTACAAAAATGTGACTAATGACTAGAGTAGTAATTAAATTATAGTAACTTATGTTAAATTTTTAAACTTAAATTATCATAACACTACATTGTAGTAACTATTAGTCATGTTTGTGTAAATAAGTTATATTTTAGTTATATTTTTGACAAAAGTCCTATTACTAGATAAAATTAAAAAAATATGACTTATTTTAAAATTTTCCAAAAGGGTGACATATTTAATAACTAGTTCTCCGTGACTCATCATCACCAATGACTCATCATCTACCAGTGACTCGTCACTCTGAAATACACTTTGTTCAGTTACTTGCACACACTGATTAGTCATATTTTTGTCCAAAAATATAACTGCTCATATTTTTGTTAGGGAAAACTCTCTTAGTAATATACGTCGTTTTTTCAATAATTTTATACTCTCTAAACATATTAAGAATGACTATTATCAAACTCCTCGACCCCGGTGATCAAGTGTCAGTAAGTAAGTGATCAGTGTCGACATGCTCGGTCCTATATAGGGTTTAGGGGCGGAAGCATACATAAAACACTTTTAATTGCGTTGAATAAAACAAAACAGAAATGACGTTACAATAGTCCAACCTTATCGTCGTTATTAATGAATAATCCAACCTTTGCACCCCATCTTCATTCGCTGGTCCATGACCGGTTGATGACCTGCTACTCCAGATTTTTTTTTCGTTTTCTTTGCAAATCATTCAACCGTAAATTCCACCTTTCACAAATCTTCTCCAAACGATCTGACATATCATTTTTCTTTTTTTCCCTAAAACTTTCCCCTCTTTATTTTTATCATCTTGACTCTTTTATTCCCCTTTTTTTCTTCTTATTCTTATTTTTACTACTTTTCAATTTATTTTATTTTTTCAATGTTTATGTATTCCTTTTTTTCTTCTTTTTCTTCTTCCTATTTATCGTTTCATTTTCATTTTTATATATTTTTGCGGATTAGCTTCCTTATAAAAGATCTTTTTCTTACTGTACTAACTTTTTACTTGATTTTCTTTTTAATTACACTTATTTATTTCCCTTTTCCTTTTCTTACCTTTATTCTACCACTAATATATTTTTGAGAAAAAAGCCCCAAAATAGGACTAATCTAATCTCTAAATGCACAAATAGGACTATGTTATTTATCTTCCCAAAATAGGACTAAAATACCGTCTATCTTCTTATTCTACATTTCTACCCTTACCATAATTTAATAGGATAATCATATTTTACATTATAATAAAAAAGAAAAATAACAAAAGGTATTTCAATTTATAAAAATATAGTAACAAAATAAAAAGAAAGTTATGGTAAGGGTTTAAATGTAGAATAAGAAGATAGACGATACTTTAGTAAAGATAAATAACGTAGTCCTATTTGTGCATTTAAGGATTAGTTTAGTCCTATTTTGGCGCTATTTACTCAAATATATATTAGTGGTCGAATAAAGGTAAGAAAAGGAAAAAGGAAATAAAAAAGTGTAAGTAAAAAGAAAATAAAGTAATCTGAAAAATATATAAAAATGAAAATGAAATAATAAATGGGAATAAAAAAAAGAAGGAAAAATGGAATACATAAACATTGAAAAAATGGAAAGTAATAAAAAATAAGAAAAAGAAGACCAAAAAGGGGAATAAAAGAGTCAAAACGATAAATATGAAAAGGAAAAGTTTTAGGAAGAAAAAAGAAAAATGATGCGTGAGACCGCTTGGTGAAGATTTATGAAAGGTGGGATTTATAGTTGAATGGTTTGGAAAGAAATTGAAAAAACCTGGAATAGCAGGTCATCAACCGGTCAGGGACCAACGAATGAAGATAAGGTGCAAAAGTTGGATTACTAATGAATAACGATAAGGTGAGACTATTGTAAGAAAACCGCTCAAAGGTTGGATTATTAATTTCCATTTTCCTCAAAGAAAAGTTAAAGAAAAAATGAAATATTACTTAGATACATTTTTATTGAACATTGTGAAAGGAAATCACTACGCATAACCATTAGTACTATTGCAATCATTTTCCCTTTCTAACACATTGTACTTGAAGGGGTTATGGGACCAGGCCCAGAGCCTAATCGGCCCAGGCCCCGAACTTGGACCAGCGGGCCCAAGCCCAGCAACCTAGAGCTCGAGTCGGCCCAACCAATCAGGGCAATCAAGGAGCGGAAGCTCAAGAGAGCCTGTCGACCAGCCCAGCGGGGAGCCTGCCTTCCAGCCCAACGTGGAGCCTGCCTTCCAGCCTACCCGGGAGCCTGCCTCCAGCCCGGTCAGAAGCCTTCCTCTAGCCTAGCGGGAAGCCCACCGTCCAGTCCAGTAGGAGGGAGCTCAAGCGTCCAGCCTGCCAGCCAGGAAGAGTAACGGCCAACAATCAATGCGCGACTTAATTATGTGTTTAATTCCGTATTAATGTTGTAATTAATTTAGTCATTATTATGTTCGGCAGTTACCATTTGTAATCGCCTATAAAAGGCAATTCGAATTTCAAATACAGATATGCTATTTCTGGCTAACTTTCCATATTCCTACTTTCCTAATTCTTGCTTGAGTGTCGTACGTAGCTTTCCTAAAAGCCTACGAGCGTCCTATTTTGGACCAACATTGGTGCTTTCATTGAGAGCCTCTATTGTCTCTCACATCACTTGAGTAGGAATCACCTAGGAAGAGGGCCGGAATCTCGTCTCGACGTGATCATGTCTCAGTCCACACTGAGGAGTCCACCCGGTCTGGCCGCCAGTGTGCCCTCGACAACCATGTACAGGGCAGGAGGGCGGCGCGCCAAGGCGACCTTCGGAACCAATTATCAGGCCACGACGACCTAAGGGCGACGCTCAACCACACCCAGGGTGAGCGCTCGGTCCGCAGCCGGCGGGGGGGAGGCCGACGTCATGCTCCGCGCATGGACCCGGCTCGACTCAATGCCGGGGTGGAAGCCCTACAGGAGGCAACTCGGGTTCTGGGGACCTTGGCTCAAAATTTCCAACAGATGGTGTCTGGCGGAAACGTGGATGAGCCTGCCCGTCAACAGACGCCAGCGGATGTGGAGGTGTCCTCCAGGCGGCGTGATGAGCGACGCTCTGGATCCAACCAAAACAGGGGGGAAGAAGTCTCCCATCGGCGAGGGGACGAAGTCTCCCAGCAGCCTAGCCGACCCCATCGGCAGACGGGGAGGGGCGCCCAGCAGGGGCGCACAACGCAGATGGAAGGAGGCGAGCCCTCTCGCCACTCTCACTGGGCGAGCACTCGGACTGGCTCCACGGAGAGGCAAAACGTGGGGCCCCGACCTCACGTGCACGGACGACTTGGAGGTGCCGCCGGACATGCTCAGCCCCGCGCTGGAGCTGTCCGGCGGAACCCACCGCCGGCCGAGGTGGAAGATCTACGACAACGCCTTGACGAGTTGAGAAGGAGGGTCGTTGGGGGGGAGCCCTACACGGCTGACCTCCGGATACCCGAACCCTTCACCCGGGCGGTCATGGATGCGCCGTTGCCGAGGGGCTACAAGCCATGCGCCATTGAAGCATACACGGGCGCTTCTGACCCCCAGCTAGGGGTGAGCATCGGGCGGGTTCGGGTCGGGCGGGTGGGTGAACCCAATACCCTTTCGGGTTTCGGATGTGTAATATGGATATCCTACCCTATGTTTTTTTACTTAGAAATTTTCGGGTTTGATTGTATTTCGGGTAGGGCGGGTTCGGATCGGGTATCGGGTTTAGTCGGTTTCAAGTTTCAACTAAAATAATTTGAAATTGCAAAATAATTTGTAATTTCAACACCAGTAAATCTAAAATATTACAATTGCAAAACATAATTTGATTCCCATTCCGGCCATACGGCCATAAATAATGTGAATATTACAAAGTAAAGAGTATGGGGGATCAAAATTGTAACAAAGAGTTTTAGCATATTACAAAATACAGATTACTGAATTACACAGTTCATTAATCATTAACATACAAAGTTCCAACTAGTCAAGTACACAAAAATGCAAAAATGCTTGAACACTTTGAAGTTCCACAAGTCCACAACTATCTTCCACAGTTTGAAGTTTCCACCTGCATAAGAAAGTTAATGAACACATGGAAAGCAATAGACATGTAGTAGAGTAGTACAATATGTCAATAACAACTTAACAAGGATAAGTTAATGAAACAAATCAGAGAAATCATTGATTCAATGACTCAGAATGCTTGTTATCCTTCACAAGGAATATAGGGGCAACTGCTACAATTTCAGTTAAAACTTACATGTTATGAACTGAAAGAGCTATACCAACCTTAAACCATACATTCAGTAATGTGTGGAAGCTTCATCATAGCCAATGAAAATTAATAGAAATGATAGAGTAAAGGATTAATGGGATTATGAGATACTTACACAAAACCTGCAAATCAGAGCAAGGTACAAGGGTCCAGGGATAGTTGGCACTTGGCAGCATGTGCATGCTTTCCAGAATGACAGAATCATGCTCATTCAAATGTAACAAGCACATAATAGTGTAATACATTATACTCATATTGGCAGCAGGTTCAACACCAAATCATATAGCAATGTACTCATGTTTCATACACATTCAAATGGAAAAACAAGCATATAATGGCACAAATCAGACATTTCATAGAGCTCGGAATGCTTATTATCATTCACAAGGGAAATAAGGGGCATCTGTTATAGCCTACCATTTTAGTTACAACTTACAAGTTACCATTCATGAACTAAAAGAGAAATATCAACCCTAAACCCTATATGCAGTACCAGTAATGAGTGGAAGCTTCATCATAGCCAATGCCAAATCATAGAGTCATGTATTCATGTTCATACACATTCAAATGAAAAAACAAGCACATAATGAAACAAACCAGGCATTTCATAGAGCTCAGAATGCTTTGTATCATTCACAAGGGAAATAGGGGGCATCTGCTACAATTTCAGTTGCAACTTACCATTTTATGAACTGAAAGAGCAATACCAACCCTAAACCCTATATGCAGTAATGAGTGGAAGCTTCATCATAGCTAATGCCAAATCATAGAGTCATGTATTCATGTTCATACACATTCAAATGGAAAACCGAGCACATAATGGCACAAATGCACAATATAAATATAGAAATTGTACACTTAATGGCACAATAGAGGATCCAGTAGGAGCAGCATCTCCACCACCAACATTTCCATCCATTATTTCTATAACAGACAAACAGAATTGTTAGAATTTTGAAATTTAAACAATAAGCTTCAGAATAAGCAAATAATACATGAAAATACATTGAACTTATACCTTTTTCCAGCCTCTCTACTTCATCAATGTTTTCTTCAACTGAGATGGTGTGTAGCATATAATGGGCACACAACTATTTTTTTTACCCAAGGAAGTAGGGTGTCGAACCACAGAGAAGCGGGAAATAAAATAATTAAGCACAAACTAAGGATTAAAGTTGGGAATGCGTTTCTTTTGATTTTTGTTTACTTGGAAAAGTAATTAAATAAAAGTGATTGAGAGAAGAGACTTTTATCAACACAAAGTTCAACCAATAGCAAGTAGGGGTAGAAATTGGCAACTAATTGTTCAATGCTCATTTGTAAGACATAATTGCTAATTTTATTCTTAGATAGATTGTGAGAAGTTGTAGATAAATATTTTAGGACCCAACACAAGTCACCTAAAATAAGTAACTAGTCAACATTTCCCAGTGATGGCCAAAACGAGACTAGTTGTTTAAGTGCAACGACAACCTTAATTATTAACTATATTATTTACCCAACCCCGTGGTGTAAATAATATAATTAAATAATTAAATTCTCCCGTAAAACTTCAATCCGGGACAAGGTAAAAGAAGTTTAACGGTGTGTTCAGAAAGTGTTCATTTGTGTATTTAACAAACAATATGTTTATGATTGAGTACTCATAATATATATCATAAACACAACATAATTAAGTTTCTGGACACAACAATCTAAATAGAATAAACTTAACAATTAAAATCAATACAAATTAAAACATTATAAGAACAATTAATTAACCAATTTCTAGCCCCAAATTTATTTAGCTATACATGTTGGGAAACATAGAAATAGATGAATCCATGATTAAAGTACAAGATTTAATGAGATAAGGAAGATCAAACTTGTGATTGATGACAATCCTTGGAGCTTTGATGCTAATCTTGACTTAATCTTGGATGAGAAAGTGATTAGTTATGGTTGAAGATGGGTTGATGATTTGGGGTTGAGAAATGAAGAGAGAAGGAGGAGGAAATGTTTCTGGGATGTTTAGAGAGAGGTTGGTCCGAGCTTATGTGTGGAGGAAGATGGATTAAGGCAATATAATGATAAGGTGATTAATCATTAATTGCTGGGATTTACGGAACAGATGAGTTTATGTACAACAAAGCGCAGTAAAGTTTCAACAGTGACAGGTAGCTCAACGGATAAGCGCTTCAAGGGAAAACTCGGAGATCTTGGGATTGATTCTCGGCTTCAACATTTTGTTCTTTTCTTTGCCGCGTTCAGAAGGAATATAACAATTGCCAGCTGAATATGTACAACATTGATTACTTAGCACACTGGTTGTAGTAGGCATTCTTCTACCCTTTCTCCAGGGATCGAATCCCAACTCCATCATTTTTATTTTTTGCTTCTTTTCTTCAATTTACTCCTTATTTGTTTTGAAGAAAATTCCACTTTTATTGACTTCCAACTTGAACTTTTATTTTCTTCTTTTGTTCACTCTAATGTATCCAAATAGCATCAAAAGTACCTGAAAATACAAAATACCCGTGTAGGGACTGCACAAGTACAAACTAACGACAAATTATAAAAATATGTACAAAAGTAGAATTTTAATAACTAAAATTAATAACAAACTAAGCCTAAAAAGTGTGTAAAATACAAGTACATCAAATCCCCCACACTTAGGCTTTTGCTTGTCCTCAAGTAAAACAAACAACAAACACAAAAATATACACAATTTGATAAGATTTACAAACATAACTAAATAAATCACATATCCACCTCTAATGTCCACTAAACGGTCCAATACCCTGAAATGTCACAAAATAACGCATTGAGAGTAAACCGAGTATTATTGCCTATCACTAAGATTTTCAAATCAAACTTTTAACACAAACACCTATAGATCTAAATTAGTTCGGGTTATGCAGAACAAGTTTCTCCAATCCGCTAAATTCAAAAAATGACACAAATAGATCAATTAGGACTTTTTTCGGTGAGTGGCTAGATTAATGAGTGTGGCTAGTTGGAAGGAAAGTTTGGTGTAAGAATATACAGAGAGGGTTAGATTGTACTAATAGTGAGCGGATCATCACAAGAATTTACAAAAACTTGGAGCATACAAAACAATGAGAAATATAAACATGAAAAGTAAAAAAAAATGGGGTTTTACAAAAGAAATTACAACAAGAATTTAATGTGCCTCTTTGTTTTTTTTTTGTTTTTTTTTTCTTTTTCTTTTTCAATTTTTCTTCTCTTTTTTTTTCTTTCTTTTTTTTTTTGATTTTTTTTTCAAAGAGGGCACACACTGAACATTACAATGAAAAACTAACCCCAAAATTTACAAACAAATATGTACTTCACTCATATGACACTTAATAGTAGCTCCATTTATTCGCTCACAAGTAACAAGACAATCTACTCTAGGATTAGAAAAGATTAACTTTGGATAGGGCTTCAGAAGGTTATGTATTTACAAGGTTACAAAAAAAAGAATTAGTAACAAGTGAAGTAAGATATTTTACACTTGTACACTGAAAGGGTGAAACGAGGTTACTAGGGAAAGTGTTATTTATTTACAAAGGGATAGTGTTTGGCTTCATGGGTAAACAAAGATGGCCTAAATCATTTCTAAATGTGTCAAGTTCAAATAAAATTTCAAGGAGAATAAATGTATGAACATCTTAATCTGCATAAACTTTCACTAATTCAACTATTAACCAATAAATTGGAAAAATAAAATCTAAGGTGTTTAATGTTAAAGTGTTAAAAAGAATCAAGTTCAAAGCTAATACTAAGTTACTCTCAAAAAATTATAGTGACACTTCTCAAACTCAAACCACATTTCGTCAAAAGAGGTGAATGAATAGTTTTAAAAAGTTATGGAAGTAACTAGTAACAAAAAATGTAAACTAATGTGTTGTTTGTCTATTGTTGTATTTTGGACAAGACTGGTCTTTAATTTTCTAAACAAACACACAAAATAAAAATAAAAGAAAATAAAATCACACAAACAAGCAAGGAAAAAGAAAAAATATTCACACAAGAAATTAGGGTCGAACTACCCACTCCCCCACACTTAAAATTTGCACTGTCCTCAGTGGAAAATAAATTAAAGGAGTGTAAAGAAAACTTCCCTGAATTGCGGACGGATGATGTTGAGATGTCTTTTCGAGCGGATGTGGCCCCTTTAGAGTCCAAAAACAAAAACCTAGACATTTTTTTTTTTGTTTTTTTTTTTTGAAATTTACAAACTTGGGTTGCCTCCCAAGAAGCGCTCGTTTAAGGTCATTAGCTTGACCCATGCCTCTTCATTCATATTTCGGATCAGTGAGGCAATACAGAGAAGTTGCCTCTTGTCTCTCACCATCATGGTATAGTTTCAACCGTTGTCCATTTACCATGAGTTTTTGGCATCTTTTGTTTAATAACTGGACTGCTCCGGATGGAAATGCTTCAAGTACTTCAAATGGACCCAACCATCGGGTCTTTAGCTTTCCGGGAAAGAATTTGTAACGTGAGTTAAATAGAAGAACTTTATCTCCCCGTTCAAATTTTCTTCGGCTGATCACTCGGTCATGCAAAATTTTTGTTCTCTCCTTGTAGAGTTTTGAGCTATCATAAGCTGCAAGTCTGAATTCTTCAAGTTCATTTAGCTGCAACAGTCGTTTCTCACCCGCCAATGCAAGATCCATGTTGAGTGTCTTGATTGCCCAATATGCTTTGTGTTCAACCTCAACAGGAAGGTGACATGCTTTCCCATACACCAATTTGAATGGTGAGGTGCCGATGGGATTTTTGTAAGCAGTGCGATATGCCCATAGTGCATCATCAAGCTTTTCGGCCCAATCCTTTCGGGAAGGATTAACAACTTTCTCGAGAATTGTTTTGATTTCTCGGTTTGAAAGTTCCACTTGGCCATTTGTTTGCGGGTGGTATGGAGTTGAGAGTCGGTGGTGAATCCCATATTTGGAAAGGACACGTTCCAATGCTTTGTTACAAAAATGAGTACCATTGTCGGTGATGAAAGATCGTGGAACTCTGAATCGGGAGAAAATATTTTTCTGAATGAATTGGATCACCACTTTGGCATCATTTGTCTGTGTGGCAGCTGCTTCTACCCATTTAGAAACATAATCAACAGCTACAAGGATGAACTCTTTCCCATTTGATTTTGGAAATGGCCCCATAAAATCGAGCCCCCACACGTCAAACAATTCGACTTCAAGTATGCCATGTTGAGGCATTTCATTCTTTCTTCCAATATTGCCGGTACGTTGGCAACGATCATAGTTTTTCACAAATTTGCTTGCATCTTTGAAAATAGTGGGCCAAAAGAAACCTGATTGTAAAATCTTTGCAGCAGTACGAGAGCTTCCATGATGTCCCCCATATGGTGAGGAATGACAATGGTGCAAGACATTTGAAACTTCATCTTCGGGCAAACACCGTCGAATGACTCCATCGGCACACCTTCTATAGAGAAAAGGTTCTGCCCAATGATAGTAGCGGGAGTCATATTTTAACTTCTTCTTTTCAGTATGTGTAGCACCATGTGGAATTACCCCATGAGAAAGGTAATTTGCAATATCGGCAAACCATGGATCAAAATTTTGAGCAGTCATAAGTTGTTCCCCAATGAAATAATCATTGATTGGCATCTTGGTATCACAAGGAATCTCAAGTCGAGATAAATGATCGGCAACAACATTTTCAGATCCTTTTCTATCACGGATTTCCATGTCAAAATCTTGTAGTAACAAGATCCACCGCAACAACCTCGGTTTTGCATCTTTTTTGTTGATGAGGTATTTGATAGCCGCATGGTCGGTATAGACAATAATCTTGCTACCGATAAGGTAAGATCGGAATTTTTCAATGGCAAAAATTATGGCAAGGAACTCTTTTTCAGTTGTGGCATAATTTGATTGGGCATCATCAAGAGTATGACTTGCATAATAAATGGCATATACTTCTTTGCCTTTGCGTTGACCCAGAATGGCTCCCACGGCATAATCGCTTGCATCACACATGAGTTCAAAAGGAAGACTCCAATCAGGTGGCCGAATAATTGGTGCAGTAGTTAAGGCCAACTTGAGTTTTGAAAATGCGGCGCAACAAGATTCATCAAAATTAAACTCCACATCTTTTGAGAGAAGATTGGTTAAAGGCTTTGATATTTTTGAAAAATCCTTGATAAACCGTCGATAAAATCCCGCATGGCCAAGAAAACTGCGAATCCCCTTGATGGAAGAAGGGGGTGGCAATTTATCAATTACTTCTATCTTTGCCGGGTCTACTTCAATGCCCTTTTCAGAAATTTTGTGCCCAAGCACAATGCCTTCGGTTGCCATGAAATGACATTTTTCCCAGTTGAGGACAAGATTTGCTTCTTCACATTTGCTCAGCACTTTATCAAGATGTTCAAGACAATCATCAAATGAAATCTCATAAACCGAGAAATCATCCATAAAAACTTCCATAATTTCCTCGACAAGATCCGAGAAAATAGCTAGCATACATCTTTGAAAGGTTCCTGGTGCATTACATAATCCAAACAGCATTCTGCGATATGCAAAAGTACCATAAGGACATGTAAATGTCGTCATTTCTTGATCATCCGGATGAATTGGGATTTGGAAAAATCCAGAGAATCCGTCAAGAAAACAGAAATATTTGTGCTTAGCCATCCTCTCCAGCAATTGATCAATAAAGGGAAGTGGAAAATGATCTTTCCGAGTAGCCTTGTTTAGCTTGCGGTAATCAATGCACATGCGCCATCCAGTGACTATTCGTGTAGGAATCAGCTCGTTTTTGTCATTCTTTACAACAGTAATTCCTCCTTTCTTTGGCACCACATGGATAGGACTTACCCATTTACTGTCCGAAATGGGGAAAATGATACCCGAACTCAATAGTTTAAGAATTTCTTTTTTAACAACATCTTTCATGTTCGGGTTGAGGCGTCTTTGGTGCTCAATGCTCGGCTTGTGATCATCCTCCAAGTAAATGCGGTGCATGCAATAAGATGCCTTTATGCCAACAATATCATCAATGGTGTAGCCAATAACTCTGCGATGGCTTCGTAAGACTTGCAATATTCTTTCCACTTGTTGAAGATCTAAATCAGCATTCACAATGACAGGATAAGTGGAATTCGGGCCAAGAAAAGCATATTTTAAAGTAGATGGAAGTGGTTTGAGTTCTACTTCAGGTGCTTTTCCTTTGACATTCAAGGATTGATCTTCAAGATTAAGCACTTCAAATTTAAGTGCTTTAGGCATCGGTAAAGATATGCTTTGCAACATTTCGAGACATAAATTCACCATTTCATTGGCTTGCTCATCTGCAATAGATTCTCGTATAGTGTACTCCATGGGATCTTTAGAAAGCCAATAAGACTTATCAAATGTCTTTATGATACAAGAGTCTATAACATCAGCATAGTAACCATCAAGGACACAAGGTGTATCCTTACTCAGCTCTTGTACATTGAATTCGATCTTATCATCCCCAATCTCAAGGATAAGGGTACCCTTTTTTACGTTGATAATTGCTCCTGCCGTAGCTAGAAAGGGTCTCCCGAGAATAACAGGAACTCGAGCATCTTCCTCCATATCCAAGACAACAAAGTCTCCCGGGATATAATACTTGTCAATTTTGACAGGAACATCTTCAAGAATGCCGATAGGATATTTGACAGATCGATCAGCCAATTGTAACGCCATTGTTGTTGGTTTGGGATCCCCCAAGTGTAGCTTTTGACATAGTGAATAGGGAATTAAGCTAACACTTGCACCAAGATCACAAAGAGCTTTGTTAACTTTAGATCCACCAATGATACATGGAATTGAGAAGCTTCCAGGATCACGTAACTTGGGTGTAATTTTGTTTTGGATTATGGCACTACATTCTTGGCTCATTGCAACAGTGGCTGGATTCTCCTTCTTCTTTGTGAGAATATCTTTGAGAAATTTAGCATATGAAGGAATTTCTGTAATGGCATCAAGCAATGGAATTGAGATATCCAACTGTTTGATAACATTCAAAAATTTAGTTCTCCGCTCCTCCATATTAGCTTTCTTCAATCTATTCGGATAAGGAATTGGGGGAATATATTTCCTTACCGAACTGTTTTTTTCTTTCTTCGACCCTTCACGATCATCAGATGATTTCAGCATGGTACCGACATCAAGTTCATTGTTGTTGTTTCCACCTTTCTGTTGTTGCTCGGCCCTTTCTTCCAACACTTCATGTTCTTGTTCATCACTAGAACGGGGCGAGGATTGATGTTGTTTCCCACTCCGAGTAGTGACGACATTGATTTGCTCCCTCGGGTTTTCAGGACAAGCAGGAAGCTTACATGTCACCTTAGTTGATGATGTGGATGCTTGATTAGCAATTTGATTCTCAAGCATCTTGTTGTGAGCTCGAAGTTGACCAAGTTCTTCGGTGATTTGTTTCAGGGTTTCAGCTTGAGATAATTGGGACTTGAGAAGTTGGTCAACAATGTTTTCTAGGACAGGAGTTTGGGTTGTTTCAGGAGTGGGGAGAAATGGTTTTTGCTGTTGATTTGAAGGGTATGGAAGATTTTGAGTGGGTTTATAGTGTTGCTGGTTCACAATACCTTGGCCACCTCTGAATTGCTGTTGTTGGTTTTGGAAACCGGGTGGTGCACTCCGGTAAGATGGTTGTGGATTAGCAGCTCCATTTTGATTGCTCCAGGAAAAACCGGGATGGTTTCTTCCTTGAGGATTGAAATTACCAAATTGATTTTGTTGGGGCTGCCTGTTGTAGTTGACATAGTCAACTTGTTCCATTGCTTCCCATGGACAAGTAGACTGATTGTGTTGTCCACCGCAAGATTCACACATAAGAACGGGAATGGGAGCTGGAGTTGATGTAGAGTTTTGCACAAGAGAGACTTGTGCCATCTTTTGGATAAGATTCATCATGCTATCGACCTTTGTGGTTATGGCCGACATTTGATCAACTTCATACATGCCTCCGATTTTTGGTGGAGCAGATGATCGCTCAGAATACCATGTTGATCCATTTGATGAAATACGCTCCATCAATTCTTCTGCCTCTGCAAGTTCCAGGCACATGAATGATCCATTTGCTGACGCGTCCACGAGTATCCGAGAATTTTCATGTAGGCCTTCATAGAAAGCCGTCATCAAGTGCCAGTTTTGGATGTTATGATGTGGACACTGTCGCTGAAGATCTTTGAATCTTTCCCAAGCCTCGTAGAGGGGCTCATTGGGATTTTGCTTGAAATTTTGAATCATTCTTCGGATTTTCGCCGTTTTAGATGGCGGGAAAAATCTTTTGAGAAATTCACCATGAAGTTGATCCCAAGTGGAGAAGTGATTATCCGGAAAAGAGTCAAGCCAACTCTGAGCTCGATCCCGTAGAGAGAATGGGAACGGGCGTAGTCTGACAGCATCAGTTGGCACACCATTGATTTTGAAGGTGTTGCAAGCTCGAAGGAACTTTGTGATGTGATTATTTGGATCCTCCGTTGGCGCTCCGCCAAATTGAGTATTTGAAACCATATGAATGATAGCAGGCTTGATTTCAAAGTGATTCATGTTAACCTCTGGTGGAATAACACTGTCATGCTCATCCACGGGAGGCGTAACATAATCATACAGCGGTTTTCTGGTCCTCATAACCTGATCCACGATTTGTTGATCGGGTACCTGCTCATTAACAACAATATCGTTTGACATTTTTTTTTATTTTTTTCTGTTCACGTATGTGCTTTTCAATGTCAGAGAAGAATAACAATTCACAATTCGCACCACGTGAACGTGTGAGCATAAGCAGAAGGGAATTGGGATTGGGGAAAGAGAGAGAGAGAGATGAAAAGAAAAAATAAATGCGGAATTAATTAATTAATTAAGGTTCGCACGTAGTCAATTGGTATAAACCGAATAAGACTAGTGAGTCCTTAAAGCAGTATGAATATATACAGCAATTCACCAGGATGCGGCTAGGCCGACAGATATGGTGATTTGAGGGAAGAAAAAAAAATAGCTACAGTAATAGATACAGTCTCCACCAAGATGCAGCTATGCCGACAGTCTGGGGATTATTAAGAAAAAAAAATAAAAATAAAAAGTGCACTCCACCAACAAGTGGACACGGCCTACAAGCTTGGGGATGCAAAATTTAAAAAAAAAATGCTGAAATTAAAGTGCGGAAATTAAATTGCGATAATATAAGTGCACAAATTAAATTGCGATAATTAAAGTGCAGAAATTAAAAAGTTGGGGTTTGAACCACCATAAAAAGAAAAATAAACGGTCCGACCATATAGGCGGAGTATCCTTTGAATTATAATGTACAAGTAAGCGGTCCGACCATATAGGCGGAGTATCCTTTGAATTATAATGTACAAGTAAGCGGTCCGACCATATAGGCGGAGTATCCTTTTAATTAAAATGTAACAATATGTTCAATGGTCTGAATGTCCATATATGTTCAGTCAACAAGTCCAACTCCAATGCTCAGGTAAGATGATTAATCACAATCCATTTTTTTTTTGATTTTTTTTTTTGATTTTGTTTTTGAACTTTAATTAATCACTTTTTTTTAACCTGCAAAGGTAAAAAGATAACAACAGAATAATATACACACAATTTACAATAACTAAAATCGAAAGTTTATGCTCTCAATTTTTTTTTTCAAAACCGCTTCCCCGGCAACGGCGCCAAGTTGGTGTGTAGCATATAATGGGCACACAACTATTTTTTTTACACAAGGAAGTAGGGTGTCGAACCACAGAGAAGCGGGAAATAAAATAATTAAGCACAAACTAAGGATTAAAGTTGGGAATGCGTTTCTTTTGATTTTTGTTTACTTGGAAAAGTAATTAAATAAAAGTGATTGAGAGAAGAGACTTTTATCAACACAAAGTTCAACCAATAGCAAGTAGGGGTAGAAATTGGCAACTAATTGTTCAATGCTCATTTGTAAGACATAATTGCTAATTTTATTCTTAGATAGATTGTGAGAAGTTGTAGATAAATATTTTAGGATCCAACACAAGTCACCTAAAATAAGTAACTAGTCAACATTTCCCAGTGATGGCCAAAACGAGACTAGTTGTTTAAGTGCAACGACAACCTTAATTATTAACTATATTATTTACCCAACCCCGTGGTGTAAATAATATAATTAAATAATTAAATTCTCCCGTAAAACTTCAATCCGGGACAAGGTAAAAGAAGTTTAACGGTGTGTTCAGAAAGTGTTCATTTGTGTATTTAACAAACAATATGTTTATGATTGAGTACTCATAATATATATCATAAACACAACATAATTAAGTTTCTGGACACAACAATCTAAATAGAATAAACGTAACAATTAAAATCAATACAAATTAAAACATTATAAGAACAATTAATTAACCAATTTCTAGCCCCAAATTTATTTAGCTATACATGTTGGGAAACATAGAAATAGATGAATCCATGATTAAAGTACAAGATTTAATGAGATAAGGAAGATCAAACTTGTGATTGATGACAATCCTTGGAGCTTTGATGCTAATCTTGACTTAATCTTGGATGAGAAAGTGATTAGTTATGGTTGAAGATGGGTTGATGATTTGGGGTTGAGAAATGAAGAGAGAAGAAGGAGGAAATGTTTCTGGGATGTTTAGAGAGAGGTTGGTCCGAGCTTATGTGTGGAGGAAGATGGATTAAGGCAATATAATGATAAGGTGATTAATCATTAATTGCTGGGATTTACGGAACAGATGAGT